CTCTTGCCTCTGCCTCCTGAGTGCTGGCCTTAAAGGTGTGGCCACCACCACCTGGCGAGTATGTTGAATTCTTAAGGAAACACGATTCTTTTTTTTTAATGGCCCCCTAACATCTTTTTTCATTTTTATTTTGGAATTTTTTGGCTTATTTGTTTTGTTATATATTTACTACATATAAGAGTTCCTGCACCTATATTTTTATACCCATAGCTTAGTGAAGGCATCTAATCCGGAAATATACCATAGGGGGGCTTTGGAAGGAAGGGGTTGATAGCTAATAAATTATATGAACAAATAATTGAGTTTGAAGTCTAAGCACTTTGGTGACTGAATAATATGAGGTGAGTTACTGCTTATAAGCCAAATATAAGAGGAAATGAAGACAGAGCTGCTGCAGAATAAAGGTAATTCTCTGGAAAGATGGATACCAGCCAGTGTTTGGAAAAGGTGGAAGGCCATGGACTTGGATCCTTATTCTAAAGTAAACAGTCAATCATTTTGGCCACTCACTAAGCAAGAACCTTTCCATTGTAGACTAGAATGCTTTCATCAGAGGAGAAACAGGCTTTCTCTGGAAAGTCCTGGGAATCTGTGTGGTTACTTCTACGGACCTAATGAGAGATGTTATTATGGATTGAATTGTATCCCATTCTCCACTTTACGTGTTGGCATCTCAGACCCTTAGACCTTATAGTGTGACTTTCTTTGGGGATGAGGTTTTTAGAGGGGTAGTTAATGTAGGTAGTGAGCATATGTCTGAACCCAATATGATGGGTGTCCTTGTACAAAGAGGAAACGTGAACATGGAGAGGCACGGGGAAAGCAGACTTGGTAAGTCAAGGAGGGTGACCTCAGAAGAAACCAGGCTGCTGATTGACACTTGGCTTTTAACCACTTAAATTAAAGTGGTTCAGCCACTTTTTATTAATTAATAAATTAAGTAAGCATAGTTTTCTTAGGCCATTTTCAGTCCACCAGCCTTTTCCATCCCTCCTTCTCGCCTGCTGAGACTCTTTTTCTTCCTAACGAGTGCCCTCTTATGGCTCAGTGGTTAAGAGCACTCACTGGCTGCTCTCCCAGAGGTTCTAAGTTTAATTTCCAGCAACCACATGGTGGCTCACAACCATCTATAATGAAATCTGGTGCCCTCTTCTGGCCTGCAGGCATACAGAACACTGTATACATAAAAAAATAATAAATCTTTAAAAAAAACAAAAACAAAAACGTCCTCCTACCTTCAACTCCTCCCTACTTTTCTTGATTCACAGAGTTTAACTGTTATGACTTGCATGAACTGGGGGTTATTTCCTGGAGCATGGACAGCTTAGCAGTGGCTACACCACCAAAGAAAATGACAGGTTACCCCAGCAGCCATTAACTGCTCACTGTCCCTCAGGGAGGGGTGAGGCATCCGGAGATGCTCCCCCATGCATAACAAAGTGGTGATGGGCACAGTCTTGGGAAGTCTTGTGCAGGCAACCATAACTACGGTGAGGTTCATGATTGCAATGGCCAGAAGACTCCATTTTTACAGCACTCTTTCTCACCCCCTGGTCCCTGCATTTTCTACACCCTCCCCCTTTCCAGATGTTATCCAAGGCACCTATATCTTTATACCCATAGCTTAGTGAAGGCATCTCACTTGGAAATATACCAACAACCTGCGGGCTTTGGAAGGAAGGGGTTGGTAGCTAATAAACTAAATGAACAAATAATTGAGTTTGAAGTCTAAGCACTTTGGTGACTGAATAATGTGAGGTGAATTATTGCTTATAAGCCAAATATAAGATGTCCTTTTAGGACCAGGCACTCCAAAGTCACTTTCTTTTCAAGCTGGGTTCAATCTCTTTCTGTGGCCCTTTCTTACGGCACCTGTGGATGACCAAGGCACCCTTTCTGGTATCATCCCACCCTGAGTGTTTTGTCTGGTAGCGCTCAACTCAGCATTTGCTTTCAGTCACCAATGTGAATGCAAGATGACAGTGTTTTGTGGCTTACAACTTGTGGAGAATTCTTATCTGCCCAACTGCTTTTGAACTTGACAGTGTTTGCAATGAGAATTATTCCTCCTCCACTCAAAGGATTTGGTGACTGGAAGAATAGGCTTTCTCAGTATACAGTTTGATTACTGACAAAGCCAAATGTACAACTTTGGATATATTGGATGTATTTGAGTTTTTCCATCATTAATACTGTTCACATATTAATTCAACATAGTGACATGAGGTGTGCCTAACATTTTCCTGGAAGCTGCTTTACTTTAATCAGCAGGCACAAATGCAAGATTATTGCACTTTTTCCTTGGGTGACCTAAGCTTGTTCTTGGCACCCATGAGTGTGAAACACTGGGTTGTCTCACAGCATTTCAGTGGCTTCTACCCAGGGGAGTTATTAGCTCTGAACCTTGGGGTTAATTCCATAAGAATGCAATTCCTTTCCCTCCTCTGAGAACAAAGTGTTACTTGTGCTGATTATCTCCATTACGTGATAAAGCCAGAGTTTTCAAAATGGTGAGCTATCGTGACTGATAGACAGGACATCAAATTTAGTGAAAACAAAACACACGAAAACAAAACTTCAAGATGTTCCAATGAATTTCAATATAAACAATGAATACTTTTATGAAATGTTTTTCTAATGTGAAAAATACTAAAAACATGTATCTAAAAGCTACGTCTGAAAGGAAATAGGGAGTAGAGAGGAGACATGTCTCAATATGTCAATATCTCAGAAGTCAATATGAAAATTAGACATTTATTTTAATAACACTTTAGAGGTTATTGACAAAATTAAATGTCTTTGGTATTGGTTGGGGTTTCATTTTACTTTTTTTTTTAAACCCAGTTGAAAACACTAGAACTATACCTGGGTTAACTATTTTTGATGACTTGTCTTCTAGGGGCCATGCAACCACTTGCATCAATTATCACACATGATCTTCAAAAGCAAAGCTTGGCAGAGCTGGAGAGCTGGGGCAAGGGTGAAGAGTACTTGCTGCTCTTGCAGTCACTCAGGGTTCCCTTTCTAGAACCCACAAGGTGGTCCACACCCTGTTGTGATGCCCGATGCCAGTTCCAGGGGGTCCTGTACTTTCTCGGGACCTCCATTTACTTTTTTAATTGCCACATATATTTTTATTTATATAAAACACCCAAGCAACCAAGAGGTGGCAAACTATAGCCTGTGGGTGAAATCCAGTTTACTCACTGGTCTGTGTGTTTGTTTTGTTTTTTTAACCACTGAACCAAAGTTTATTTCACGCATGCAGAAACAGAAAACAGCAAAGAGAAGAAGCTTTTTCATAGATCCAACTTAAAAAGTGTGTGTGTGGGGCTCTTCAGAAATAGAAGAGAAGGAAAGAGGCCTAGGAATGCACAGTGCAGAGTGGTTGGCTAACATATGTGGTACCATGGATTCAACCCCCAAGAACCACATAAAATGGTTAACAATCGTCTCACGTGAGAAGTGGATGCAGGAGGATCAGGAGTTCAAGGTCATCCTCAGCAACATGAAGAGTTCAAGGCCAGCCTTGGATACAAGAGACCCATCCTTTCTAGTGTGAGAAGGAAAGACTAAGAATATTCAAGAGACAAGAGAGGATAATGGGGTGTGAATATGATTGAAATACACTATGTAAAGATACGAGAACATTGTTAAGAAATATTATGTATGATTAACTTATGCCAATAAAGACATATGAGAAAGTACTGTCAGGTATGGTATCTCATAACTGTAATCCCATCTCTTGGAAGACTGATGCCATAGGGTTGTCATGATACAGTCAGTCAGGATACAGAAAGAGGCCCATTTTCAACCAAGCAAACAAAATTATAAATGAGAAAGTAAGAAAGCTGGAGAGATGATTCAATGGTCAGAGCAATAACTGCTCATCCAGAGGACCCAAGTTCTATTCTTAGCACTTACATGGATGTCCATACATTCATTCCCTGAGATCCTATTCCCTTTTCTGTCTTTCAGGTACCAGGCAAACACATAGTACCCAGACATGCATGCAGCCATACTCATAAAACAATAAAAACGTAAAGAATGATGGCTCTAGAATGGTGAATATAACATGTTAGCTGCACCAGAGTTTCTGATTCAGAAATACGACTGTGGGGTTGATTCTACATTTCTAAATAGTTCCTGCATACTAATTCTCATGCTACTGGGGACCTAAACAAAGTTGTCTACCTGTATATGTCCTTTTTTTTCTTAACTTGGTAATGTTTGTTTTCCTTCAAAAAATTTTTTGCATTTATTGAAGGTGTTATTATTCTCATGGGTAGAATGAACAAAATAGATACTTAAGAGGTTCGGTAACTTTGGGGAGATTCTCAGTAAATCTTAAAATTCACAGTGAAGTCCACTGAATTCCAAAGTGTCTGCTCAGACTATCATCAAGGTAGTGTGTGCATTTAATTTGTCCTTCCTGGATTTAACAAGGAAGAAACTGATTCATGATTTACGATTAAAGACGGATCAATCCCCAAGATAAATCCAAAAGAATGTAATAGTAGCTAAGTACTTAGGTTGTGCAACCACATGTCTAAATCACAACTCTTATCACTTAATTTTTCTGTACCTGCTTCCTTCCCCTCATAAACTGATGATAGTAGTATTGGCTATTTGCTTGACTAAGTGAGATTATATCTCAAAAGAAATTGACGAGCACTGGACATGCCATATAGAAGACATTCACTAAATTTATTTTACATCAGTTATTTTTAGTTGTTATTTTAATTTTTATACTTTTTAAAAATTTATTTATTATTAAGTATACAGTGTTCTGCCTGCAGGCCAGAAGAGGGCACCAGATTTTGTTACAGATGGTTGTAAGTCACCATGTGGTTGCTGGGAATTGAACTCAGGACCTCTGGAAGAACAGTCAGTGCTCTTAACCTCTGAGCCATCTCTCCAACCCCAATTTTTTATACTTTTAAATTTTATTTTATGTGCATGAACATTTAGCCTGCATGTATGTATGTGAATCCTATGTGTGCCTGGTGCCCACGGTGGTCAGGAGAGGGCATCAGATTCCCTGGAACTGGAGTTACACGTTGTACCCAAGGCACCTCCCATAGTTGACTGTCCGATCATCTGAACCACAAAGTTCACAGAACGTGGTGGTGCCATGTTCTGTAATGTTAGATAAGCAAGGCAACTCTTCCACTTCTTTGTAAGACATGACTTGGTCTTGACTGCATCTTTTAGTTTCTTGTCTGGCCACAAGTGCCTAGGAAAGGCCTGTTGTGAGGGAGTACAGACACTCATCCACTGCTGGCTGGGCCTGGACCTTTCTTGCTATTGTCTTTGGTATTTATACTCCCAGTATTTACTCCCAGAGTCTTCGAATAGGCTAAAGACGCCATCGGAGCTGCCCAAGAGCAACCTGCCTGCACAGAAAAAGCAATCAGCTTGCTTTAAGATTCCTCAAGCTCCTATTCCTATGGGAATAATAGTGATTACATGTATATCGAGCTGTTTTAGCCTCATTTCTGTTGCTGTGATAAAACATCCAGGTATAAAACAGCTTGGGGGAAGAGGGTTCTTTTTTAAGCTTACAATTCCAGATTGCATTCCATTCTTGTGGGGAAGTCACAGGGGCAAGGGCTGGGAACATCTGGTCACAACACAGACAGAAATGAATGCACACATGTTGCCTGCTTGCTTACGGATTTTTTAAAAGAAGATTTATCTTGTTTTATATACATATATATGAATATTTCTTCTGCATATATTTATGTGTACCATGTGTGTGCCTACCACCCACAGAGGTTAGAAAAGAAGATCAAATCCCCTGGCCCTGGAGTTACTGATAGATGTAAACCACCATGTGGTTTTCGTGTGGGGGCTGGGAACTAACCCAAGTTCTCTGCTCTTACAGCAGAGCTCTTGTCATCAGTTTCTTCCTTCTCATCATAGGGTATGGCACTGCCCACAGTGGACTGAGTCAATTAACAGTCAGCATGATTCCCTCCCACCAGACCTGCCCACAGACCAATATAATCTAGGAAATTCATCAATCGAGACTCTATTCCCAGATTCATCTTCTGAGATAACTGAAAGACATGGTTGTTCCCAAAGAAGGATGGGCATGGAAGCCTTGGGACACTGTGTGTGAACTGTCAAATGGATTTCTACTACGAAGTGACTTAAATCCCAGTCATTGACATCTGGAGGCTCTGCTGAAGAGAAGCAGAAGCAGGACTCTTGCATGGTGTAGATTCCTCAAAGCACGAATAAGAAAATTGCATTATTGTTTTTTTCTGTGACTAGGCTCAGCTTTCCTCTTGGATCTAGAAAATTCTTGAAAGCTGTGGCCTTAGGGCAGGGGTGAACAGACTAGAGAGAGATGGAGGGAGAAGACTGCAGTATGTCACAAGGATTGTATGAGTTACTTTTTGTTGCTGTTATAAACATCATGACCAAGGGTGACTTACAGAAGAGAGCGTTTCTTTTGGCTGATGGTTCCAGAAGGACGAATCCACCATGGTGGAGAGGTGTGGCAATGTGTGGTAGACATGGTGTCCAAAGCAGGAAGCTGAGAGGTCACATCCTCAACCGCATCAGGAAGCAGGGAAAGAAAACTGAAAATAGAGGGAGAACTTAAGCTGTCAAATCCTACCCCAGTGTAAAGCTTCCTTCAGCAAGGCTGCATCTCCTAAGCCCTTCCAAACAATGCCACCAGCTGGTGACCAAATATGCAAATGCCAGAGCCTATGGGAGACATTCTCATCCAAACCACCGTAGGACCCAAGGCTGAAAGGCCATCCCTTGATTCATATTCTTGTGTACCTCAACCCTCCGCAGTACACTTTCGCTTTTCTGTCTCCTCTTCCAACACATTTTCCTTTGTTTATTTATTCAACAAGCGTTTACTGTATGTCTCTGTCCGTCAAGCACTGTGTAAGGCCTGGAGAAGACACAGCCTGTTTCTCTCTGGTCCACTGGGGACACACTCATTTCAGGAGGTAGGTAGGTGTTGTAAGGCAGTGACATGGTGGGGGACAAGGGACAGCAAAAACAAGATATGGAATAGGGGCAGCATGGTTGGAGAAGGCTTCTTTTGGCTCAGAACTGAGCAAGAGAAGTTAAGTAAGTCATGGCTTCTAAACTCAGGCAATTAGTGAGCAAATCAACTGAAGCTGAGACTAAGATTTACCTGATTCTGTTTTCATTAATTAATATTTTATTCTTAACATTTTTTTTCGTTCTGGGACTGGAGTGATGGCTCAGAGATTAAAGGCACTGACTGCTCTTCCAGAGGTCCTGAGTTCAATTTCTAGCAACCACATGGTGGCTCACAACCATCTATAATGAGATTTGACACTCTTCTGACCTGCAGGCATGTATGCATACAGAACACTGTATGCGTAATAAATACATCTAAAACCTTTTTTCATTCAATGTATGTTGCTCACAATCTTTTTTCCCTCCCCCAACTCCTCTCAGATCCTCCTCAACTCCCTACCCACCCAACTTCCAAGCAAACAAAAAAACCCAATGAAAATCAAAACAAAGCCAGGTGAGGTGGCTCATGCCTTTAATCTCAGCAGAAGCAGGCAAACAGGAGAATCTCTGTGAGTCTGAGACCAGCCTGGTCTACAACATGAGTTCCAGAACACCCAAGGCTGTTGTTACACAGAGAAGCTCTGTATCAATCCCCACCACACACACAACACAAAGGAGAAAGAAAGAAGGAAAGAAGAAAAGGAAGACAGAGAAAGAAAATCATAACAATCAAAAAACAAAACCCTGTAAGACAAAACCAACAACAACAAAGCAAAAAGCACACAGGAGAACTTGGAAATGGTGTTGGCCAACTACTCCTGGGCATGAAGTCTGCCTTGGCATGCAATCGATAAATTCAGTGACACTCTATTGGAGAACATGGATTTTTCCTTTTGCAGCAGGTATCAATTGCAAATAGCTTCATGCTTAGGCTTCGTGTCAACTTCCCCTACTCCATGCTGGTATTTTGTCTAGTTCTAACTTGTACGGATATCATGCACCACGTCACAGTCTTTTTGTATCTGACTCTTGAGAGTTGTCTACTTTTCATTACATCTTTAAACAATTATATCACTCTCCAATGTTTATATCCAGCTGTGCAACAGCTGGAACAATGGGAAGAAATAGTCATGCCTTTACTTACCCATGCTGTGCATGTAAATGCCCAATGCAAAGCCTTTTTTTTTTTCAGCTGTGAGCACCAGGGCCCAGCCTTGCTGAGAAAAGCATTGTCAGGCTAGAGGGATAATGCAAGAGTGTCCAAGCTCATCAAATTCATCACAATGCCCCCTTTACTTCATAGCAGGCCAGCTATCAATTAACATGCAGGGCACACACGTACCACTTGCTGATTGCTTTCATTCGTAGACAAATATGAGTCTAATAAATTAGCAAATACGTGTACCCAGGTCACAAGTTCAGTTGGGAGTTGAGGTTAGGTTGATGTTAACAAGTTGTCATTGCGCTGAGAAAAGTATCAACGGCACTGCCAATTTTCTCATCTTCCCACTGCCTGAGGAAGACAGAAGAGCTGAAAGGTAGAATTGGTGGCCATGCTTTTGTCTCTTTGAATTTCATTCTGGGGAATGAGGCCTGGGAAGCTTGACTCTTTCTGTGCCAGACATTGTAGAACTTCTTGTAAATGATGGAGGTGCAATCCTTGTCTTGGAGGAGATTTTCCACATTTCATTGCAGTGGAGAAAATGTGGCAAGGAGGAAGATTGTGAACTTTGGACCATTCAGGCTTGGATCTGCTCCTTTACCCCACCATTATCTAATTGACCATATGATAGCATCTTTCTGATTCTTCATATTCGCATTCATGAAATGTATATGACAGTGCATATAAACAGATAACTTACTATGTGGTGATTTTATTGCCACTCTTGCTGTATTTATTATTGTTATTAATACAATCCTGCCAAGTCCTGTTCTGTCACTGACTGGGTGGCTATGGGAAAATAATTGAAACTGTAATTTCTAATGATTTTGACTGGCTCACTGGTTCAACTCTCAAGTCCAGGCTGTCTTCAATTTCAATCATCACTCTTACCACCAGTTGCTATACTGATTTATACAGTGTTCTTTCTCAGCCAGCAAGAGTGTAAGCTCCATGAACAGGTGTTTGGGGGTCTTCTGTGACTTACTGATATCATTTGAGCCTAGAACGGTTCTGGGAACACTCATGTCATAGGGTCGTACAGAGCATAGAGTTATTATTAAGGTTAGGTTACGAGGTATGTCTGAGATCACTGGTATGCTGAGTGATCTCTCCTTGTTCTTAGTGCTAGCTTCTTAAACTGTGATATGGAGTTGAGTCAAACAACAGGAACATCATCAACATAGAAGCATATGAGATTGATGGCAAACACACATGTGTCAGAATTGATTTCGATCAATTCTCAGGAAGAAAAGGAAATACCTGCAGAAAAAGAGAGGTGGCTAGGAATAAGAAAGAAGAATGGCCTTTGTCACTTGAGACCATAGGGTACCTGTCTGTGATGGAGATTTACCCAAGCCCAAGATTTTGGAGGCATCCCAAAGAAGCTGCCTCAGTCAGAGACACAAAAAAGAGCATGCCAAGAGAGTGACCCCACAGTGCTATGGTGGCTAAATGAGAAATTCTCTGGAGAGAATCAGAACCAACTCTGTTTCCTAACTGTTGAGTCCTCTTGAACAATTCCTCATGTTCCCTCCTAATGAAATTCCGCAAGAGTTTTGTTTAAGGTAATATAACTCATGTGCTGCAGCACAAGGTACCGTAGCAGAAACATCTCAGAAGCTGGACTCTGCTTAAGGAGAGCTGAATCTGAATGCTGGCTTGGTCCCTTGCTTGGGTAATTGGCTTAAGTTTCTTCATGCCTTTGAAAATAAGGTAAATCTACAATGGATCTATAATGGACTTATAGTTCAATTACAAGTTGAATATCCAATGGAATCTATAATACACGGGGTCATTGAAAGCGATAGTGAGATCACCTCTGTTCAATGTCTGATTTATTCTAGGGGCTTCATTGAGAGCAGCCATTGTTAGAAACAATTGACAGGACACATAGATCATTTGATTCAGTCTCTACAACAACAGTATAAAGGAGGCACTGTGACTGTTAACCATTTTCGTATGAGGAATTAGAGGTCTAGTGAGGTTTCCCAACCTACTCCATGCCGCACGGTCAGTAAGCATCCAAGTTCTGATCCTGACCAAGGCTGACAGCCAGGGATTTTGGTAATTAGCAAGTTGTATAACATTTCTCCCAAGAACAGCAGAAGCTTAGCTGGAGAGAGTAAGGTCCAGAACCTCTGCACTCTCTTGCATAATACACTGCTTGGCAATCCGAAGTTGTTGGATTTAATAAAGGTACTGGCTTACTGTTTGGAAGGCATAGAGAAAGAGCTATATGGATAGGGCAGGCCAAAACAAGATCAGCTTGTATTATGCTTGCTTTCTACATCAGTTCAGGAGGCTATTGCTTCGCCTCACCTCTTTGAAAAGATTTTGTGAAAAGTGTTTCTTTCTTTGTCCTTTTTATTGGACCATTTCCTTTCACTGACATAGGCAAATAGACCATACCAGTTATCTATTGGCCCATCCATATTCTGTTCCCTGTATGGAGTTTTTTATTCTAGGAGATGGAATAAATGGCAGGAACAAGAAGGTGTAGGAGCCCTTACTTTCTCGTTATTCACCAAGAAAAAGAAACAGCTGTTTGTTTCCTTTGCATTGACTACTCTTTTGTGGTTATTACAGAGAGACACATGGGATCCTTGAGAGGGTTTTGTGGAGAGAGGGAAACGGTAGGTACCTGGATTTGGAAAGAATCTTAGATGCCTTTGAGTCAGGTGCTCTCTCAATTGAGACATTGTGCAGCGATTCTTGAATAGTCACTGAGGTTTTCTGCTAAAGGAGGGTTTATCTCACCATTTACCAGCTCTGTCTCCCATCACACCCAACAGGAAATGTGAGGCTCACATGATAGCCCTCAGAGTCCTGCATGATCCAGTGCCCATTGTGACATTTGCCCTGACTGTTTCTCCACTGTACTCTCCCCAGCCACACTGGCTTGCCTGAATACAGAAGGCTGTTCCTATCATAGGGCTTCTGAACTTACTATCCCTTTGAAGAAATAACTGGATCCTCCTCTATTTTTTCCCAGGCTTCTTATCAAATGTCATCTTTGGTGAAAGACCTTTATCACTGTCTAATCAACTCTTGGTACTCCTCTGCTCTAGTTTCCTTATCAATTACCAATTACCGGATACTGTATTTCTTCTCTTACTAAAATGTGGGATCCACAAGGCAGAGGCTATATCCTCAGCATGTAGCATATATGAGGCACTCAAAGGAACATTTGTTGACTGAACACATGAATGAGTGATTTAATAGTGTGTAATACACACACACACACACACACACACACACACACAGGGCTAGAGAGATGGCTCAGAGCTTAAGATCATTGATTGATCTTCCAGAGGTTCTGAGTTCAATTCCCAATAACCACATGGTGGCTCACAACCATTTATAATGAGATCTGATGCCCTCTTCTGGGCAGCAGGCAAACATGCAGAAAGAACACTGTACACATAAATAAATAAACCTTTAAAACACACACACAGACACACAAAAAAAAAAAAGAAAAAGAAAAACACAACTAGCAGCCTGATATAGTAGTGAGAGCCTGTGATCCTAGCACTTGGGGCTGAGGTTGGAGAATCACAAGTATCAAGTCAACATAGATACGCAGATAGACACACACACACACACACACGCGCGCACACACACACATACACAAACACACACTTGAACATATATGCAAGCTAGCAACACACATGTAAGCTATCAAGATTACATCTGTAGAAAAGAAAACTTCAAAGTATTCGATCCACAGGAAAACATCATTGACTTTGATCTTAGTTCTAAAGGCTGCACGTTCCAAGTTGTCTCTAGGGCCACCCCACTTCCCCTATGTACCTAACACCACACAGGAGGGACAGAGCGTTTCAGTTGTGGTGTGTACCTCTGTCTGCCACCGATCCCTCCACATCCCCCAAAAGACGACTTCCTGAGACTGTCGGCCTTTTCAGTCCACTTCATCCTATCATGCCTCTCTCCTAATCTTGTAGTGATATCATAACATAATACAACCAGAGGTGTCTGGGCAGTACCATGCTCAGCAGAAATAAATGCTGCTAGCAGTGTTGGGGAGTCATCATCTAGATCAGGCAGGGTCACTGAGAGCTATGGGCGAGCATGGACACCTATGGACCTTGCTTTTCACAGAACTCCTAGGTGCCTTTTGCAAAAGTCATTGCTTGTTAATGTTGGATGTTAATGGCATTGTTAATGTTGGATGTATAATCAATAATGTGTATTTCAAGAAGGCTATTCCAGATGGATTAATCCCCTCATCTCTGTCCCATTCTTAACAGAGACTTATTATTATGAATGCTCAGCCTATATAACTTAGGCTTGTCCCAGTAACTTTTATAAGCAATAAATTAGCCCATTTCTATTCATCTATGTGTTGCTACATGACTTATGGCTTTTACCTCTCCTGCATGTCTTGCTTCTTCTATGACCAGCTGGCAAACCCTCTTTTCTTCTTCCCCAAGACCTCGCTGTCCCCAGAAGTTCCACCTACTGTCTTCCTCTGCCTAGCTATTGGCCATTCAGCTCTTTATTAAGACAATCACAGTGGCACATCTCCACAGTGTAAAGGAATATTCCACAACAGATTTACCCTTCCTATAATGTGCAGTCATTGGAAGAAGACACTCCTTCATGAGGACCTGGGCTATCCAGATGCTGGATAGTAGGGCATTGATCCTGGACCTCCAGCTTCTTTTGAACAGTAAATTTCTTGTATGCACAAACAAACCACTTAGTGGCTTTTGTTACATTGCCCCAAAGAGGCTAATACATTTCATCTCCCAATTAAAATGTGGATTGCTTGCTTGCTTGCTTTTTATCTTAGTATTCCTGATATTAAGAAATTCTGGTCCCAATCAAGGTTTCATAAGCACTAACTAACCTTGTGGAGGTCACTTGCTATGTCTGTTTTGAACCAGTATACTAGGACTTTATAATGCTTTGGTTTTCCTAAGTTTAGGGAAACTGTCTAACAACAGCAAGAATTATTTCTGATTGCATAGGAATTTTAAAATGACATGTCAAGGTCCTTGTCATTTGCTCATGGCTGGTGTTTCCGTTTGGGATCAGGACAGCTTAGATCAGCTTAGATCAGACATTTCTCTGTGGTTTCTATTAGGTTCACTGTCCTCTTATCAGTTCCTCTGCTTTGCAGGGACTCAGGTCCTTCTCCACGTAGTTGACAGCCACATCTTAGGAGAGCTTGCTAGTTTTCTTCTAATCTTCGTTGGGGATCTGAGAGAAAAGACGACTGTCCTACGAATGAGGGACTGGACTTTAGGACTGTTGTATGATATATTTGATGTTGTTTTCACACTCACTAACAATTATAGTATCATAAAAACTTCATGAAGATATAGTGAAATGATCTGTCTACATTGCCCGGGAAAACATAAGCCCTTTCTCAAGACCAATTACCACATATAAGGTTTGCTCTAAGCCAATGATGGTCATGTCTGAGATTTTCCATTATTTGCTTCTGGTTCATTTGCCTCCTATGTTCTTCATCCACGTTATAAAAACATCTATCTTTAACTCACTGTATTCAGTCTCTTCCTGTTGCATGAACTGTTCTCATCTTCCAGTCAAAGGAACTTTAGAACTACGGCTATGCACAACCCTCTGCTCTGCTTAAGGGAGAATTTCAGAAAGTGAACAAATCTTTACTTGGTCTCATAGGGCTGGGTTTTTTGTTTTTATTTTACTGTTTGTTCCTGAAATGCAAAGTATTATTGCTCTTGAAGGCCCACAGCTGCCCCTCATATTACTCAAAGTTCATTGTCATTAAGGTTCAAGTTTTATAGACAAGAGCTGGATTCTCTTATAGGCTGTTATCCTTGACAGTAACATGAAACATGAGACCTAGTGAGAGGGCTGAAAAGGCCGACAGTCTCAGGAAGTCGTCTTCTCGGGGATGTGGAGGGATCGGTGGCAGACAGAGGTACACACCACAACTGAAACGCTCTGTCCCTCCTGTGTGGTGTTAGGTACACAGGGGAAGTGGGGTGGCCCTAGAGACAACTTGGAACGTGCAGCCTTTAGAACTAAGATCAAAGTCAATGATGTTTTTCTGTGGATCGAATACTTTGAAGTTTTCTTTTCTACAGATGTAATCTTGATAGCTTACATGTGTGTTGCTATCACACATATATGTTCAAGTGTGTGTTATGTGTGTGTGTGTGTGCGCGCGTGTGTGTGTGTGTGTGTGTGTGTGTGTGTGTGTGTCTATCTGCGTATCTATGTTGACTTGATACTTGTGATTCTCCAACCTCAGCCTCCCAAGTGCTAGGATCACAGGCTCTCACTACTATATCAGGCTGCTAGTTGTGTTTTTTCTTTTGTGTGTGTGTGTCTGTGTGTGTGTTTTAAAGGTTTATTTATTTATGTGTACAGTGTTCTTTCTGCATGTTTGCCTGCTGCCCAGAAGAGGGCATCAGAATCAGATCTCATTATAGATGGTTGTGAGCTACCATGTGGTTATTGGGAATTGAACTCAGAATCTCTGGAAGATCAGTCAATGATCTTAAGCTCTGAGCCATCTCTCTAGCCCTGTGTGTGTGTGTGTGTGTGTTTTAATGATAACGTCTGTGAAAACATACAGATGATACTGTATCCTTTCTAATGTGAAATGTTCAAATACTGCCATTACATAATTTTGGAGTATTTCTTTATCTGTGACCTCAAGCTCCTATCAGATGGCCATCCCTCTCACATTATCTCACAACCCTGAATGCCCACTCTCTAAGTTGTTTTCTACTGGGAATGTTTCTTCTTAATGAGACAATATAGTAGGTGGCTTTGTAAAAAGCTTCTTTCACTTAGTGTGGAAGCATCTACACTGCTTACATGGTCCTGAGGTCTTGCTCTCCTCCTCATACTCCAGGATCCAGGAGCTCCATGCAGATCCAGGAACATACACACTGGTATGTGCTTGTTCGCTTGTTTTGGCAGCAAATGGCAGTAGACTAGAGATGACATCTGAACATATCCTTGATTTGCTTCTAATCTTGGAGGAAAGCATTTATGCAATCTTTCATCAGTGGTTATGGTAATATTAGTTCTCTCTCTCTCTCTCTCTCTCTCTCTCTCTCTCTCTCTCTCTCTGTGTGTGTGTGTGTGTGTGTGTCTTCAGTAAGCAAGGGAAGTTCCCCTCTTCTCTGACTTTGCTGAGTCTCTTATATTTTTGGTTGTGAGCCTAGCCTTTAACGGCTGAGCCATCTCTCCAGCCCTTTGCTGAGTCTCAACAGCTCTTGTTTGCTTGAAGGGGAAGCAGAGGTGTGGCAGTTGGGCTTCCTCTCCAGAGAGGCCATTGTGCTGGGAACACTTGCCTCCCCATTCCAGGAAGAAGCGTCAACTTCCTTCTAGATTGGAGTTCAAACACAGTACTTCAGTAGAAACTCAACTCAGCACTTTTTACATGGGTGTTAACCATTGTGTTTGGGTCTCATGTCTTCAAAGCTGTGTCTAGAATCACACCAGCTTTGCCAAACAGGTGCTGCACATCATCCCTTGAGGTCTGAGAGAAAACGGAAGGAGAGGTTTGCAACATTATAAGTTTATCTAATGTTTCCACAAGTAAAGAAGGTTTCCTTGAACCTGTATTGCTGCTAAGCACAGACACTGAGAGTTTCTGGGCAGGTGATGGAGGAATTGGTGATGTCTGTATTTGTGTGTGTGTGTGTGTGTGTGTGTGTGTGTGTGCGCGCGCGCTCGTGTGTGTGTGTGTGTGTGTGTTTGTATGTATGTTTTATATTTTAGGTGCTTGGTTACTTGCTTAATCTATTATATAGTTT